AGATTGATAGAGGTTTTTGAAGTAGTTAATTGCTACTTCAGCCTTGGAGGCTTCAGCTCTATGAGTAGCACCAGAGTTATCAATAAGTTTGACAATGTGGTTCTTTGCTCTAGAAATTTTCACAGCCGCGTGGAATACTTTAGTGTTTCCATCACCATGAAGGATCCAATCGTCTTTGTTTTTTTGCTTCCAGTAATTCTCTTCATCCCTATAAGCCAGGGAAAGAGATTTCTTGAGGGAAAAGGTTTTGTGTGAGGAAGGGTTAGAAGATGATTCCTCCTCCTCAAGTTCCTGCTGTAGAGAAGTAATTCAATCCTTAGAGTTAGCTTGATTTTTTTTTTTCCAAAGGCTTAATCCCTTCCGGCATTGCCTTATGCGGGAAGAAACAGACAAGGAACCATTCCTGTTAAGTGAATTCCAAGCTTTGATTATAGTTTCTCTAACTAATGGTTGATGAAGCATTCTTCGATCAAAACGGAAGGAACCTCGGCAAGAGTCTTGAGATGACATTAGTTTGATAAGGACAGGCCGATGATCCGATCCTCTCTTTGCTAGAAAAGCTTGGTTAGATGCTGGAAACATGGAGAACCAAGTCTTATTTCCGAAAGCTCTATCGAGTCTACTTTGAATCCAATGATTCCCCCTACGTCCTCCCCAAGTTAAATTGTTACCAGTACTAGGGAGTTCAAACATACCACAACCCTCAATCATTTCCGCGAAAGGTGCAAACGATGTGTCACTTCTTCTAGGACCGCCAACTTTCTCTGAATTATTTAAGATTTCGTTGAAATCACCAAAGATAGACCAACTTGATGATGTCCTATTGACTCCAAATCTGTTGATACATTCCCAAACAATGCGTCTTAACTCAGGTTTTGGGTTCCCATATACACACGACAAATAAAACTGCTTATCTTCATATATTACTTGAACATCCAAAAGATTCTTGTCCGCATACAGAACGACTACATCTACACTGCTTTTCCAAAAAAGAGCAAGGCCACCACTCAACAAGAGGGGGTTTACAGTGTACATCCTATCATAACCTAGGCAAACTTTGAGATCTTCTAAAGTATTCCTAGGGTTCATAGTTTCCATTAAGAAAAACACCTCAGGGAAGTACGTATGTCGCAATTCCTTGAGTTTTTGCATTGTCAGTTCTTCAGGCCGTCCGAGTCCCCGACAATTCCAACTTAAGAAGCTCATTACACATTGGGCGGTCCCTCCCGTGGGACTGCCAATGATGCATTGCTCCTTGCTGTCTTGGATGCACCTGCCAAATCTTGCTCAGCCTTCCTTTTCTTACTCGCCTTGCTTTCCACTGCCTCTGGATCTTTCTTCTCCTCCGTGGCATTAGTGATTTTCTTTTTGGTGCCTTGTCTCCTCTTGTAACATCGGGGATTCTTTTTATCTTTATCTTCAATCAAGGAGAGTCTTGCACGGTCAAAGACAGGTACACTAGAATCGGCTAAGACATGACCTTTTTCGTTCGGAAGTGATAACCTGCAGAAGACATTAGTTGTTGAGTTGATAAGTGTATGACCCGAGGAGATTGCTGATGCCATGAGTTTTGTTTGAGATTCATCTGGGGGTTGGTTGATCTCCTTTTTTCCATAGTCGAGAACTATTCCTTTTCCTTTGTCAATTTGAGTGGTGAAAATGGGAGGAGGGAGTAACTGAAGAGTAGTTCTCTGAGTAATTGGATTACTCGCAGCTTCTTTGACTGTGCAGATAACTCTTTGTTCCCTCACATGTCGATCTTCTTGAGTTGAAGCGAGAAGGTAGTTACGCATTTCCTGAAGAACTTCAGGCGCAATACGAGGTCTTCCTGAGAGGGGATGATTGCCAACTTGATCTTCACGTAACACTCCAAAAAGAGGATCGTCTTCTGAGAGTTGAGGCTTTTGCTTCAAAGGAGTTGTAATAGCAGATCGAGATGAGGAAGACGCCTGCATGTTGAGATTCAACCAGAGAGGACATCTTTCCTTTGCATGCGTCAGACGTTGGCAGTGGGTGCATCTCTTTTGAACCCTCTCGTAGAAGTAAAAGATAGTAGTCTGGCCACCACCAGGGAGATTGAGGATTCTTGATTTCTTCAAGGGCTTGGTGACTTCAATACGGATCTTGACTCGAACGTAGTGTTGCCTTTGTGATTTCTCTGGATCGAAAGCCACGATCAGGACATGGCCTATGAGTTCACCTAGCTCCGTAATCGCTTCTTTTGTGTAGTGGTTGACCGGTATATTGCTGATTCTGACCCAGATAGAAACAGATTGGAGGTAAGTGATCGGTGGATTTTCTACCCATTTCTCTATCGCAAGACCCCAGTCATCAAAGGTATGCATGCCTTTCTCAAGAACATCATAAAGATCATGTGCATGCATAAAGATGAATTGAAATCTCTCACTGGTGAGGGCGATTCCACGGACGCGGCCATTTCCTCGGCATTTCTAGGATCAGATTGGCTAGATTCTGCTTCTCCGGGTTGAGGAGGCGACCGATGAGGCTGCATGCATTCCTTTCTGTGGCAAAGTATTGTGGGAGATTGGGGAGGTTGAAAGGGGAGTCGTCATCATCGTTTAGAGAGAGAGATAGGAGAGCTTTGTCCATTTCAGAAGACATGATTTAAGGATTAAGAGAGGTAATGAAGAAGGTTTTCGAGATAGCTGTTTAAATAGAAGTGTTAAGAAGGAAAACGAAGGGTTTAGAACTTTCGTGTTTGATAAGAAAATGGAATACGCAGAGTTTGTAGCTTGTTTAGGATATCAAGGAAGGGATTGAGGAAGAACAGATTCAGAAAGCGTAATGATTAAGGCTAAAAAGTGTGCTTTTCTTGTTGAGATAACCAAGAAAAGAAACCTTTGCTCTAGAGAGAAAAATCCCTAGAGAGAGAAAGCTTTGATTTAATTTTACATTGTTATAAACTTAATAATTGGAAGTATTCAGAATTAGGAACATGATACGTGTTTGTGTTGAAGCGGATATATATATTAAACTAAAAGAAAATTTATAAAAATTATGACTAAAATTATATAATTAGAAATAAAAATAAACCATATATTCATTTACAATAACTAAAGATCTACGAGTTAAATAAAATATATACATATTTTTATTATGTTTACACTGACTTTTAATCCATAATAATATTTTAACTTTAGCTAGATTGTAAGATATTTTTTTCTGTTTATGACTATAATAGGAAATAATAATATTTTCCTAGAATTTCAGTGTATTTAACACATACAACTTTTTAAAAAGTTGTTTTATTTAAAGCAATGAGTATTTAAATTAGCTTTACTTATTTCAATTGTAATATAATATTTCATACAAGATTAAATAACATATAAATAAAAACATAAACATGATATAAATAACAGATATAGCAATATATATATATATTATTTTATTTTGAAAAAGATATAGCAAAATATATGTGATGTTGATATTAATATTATATTTTCATAATAACATAAATATGTAAGAAAAAAAAATTTCGGATCATAACAACAATTTAATAAATTATTCATTCATTTCAAAAAATAGAAATGTTATAAACAACACATATAAAAATATGGATTATTTTATATTCACATAAGAAAATAAATTATGAATTTTTAAAAGTAATTATCTGCGCGTAGCGCGGAAAAACGATCTAGTAAATTTAAACATTTTAACAAGAACATTTATGGAAGCCAGGAGATCATCTTATGATAAATGAATAACTTATATGTTGACCCAAACCTTTTTATGGAAGCCAGAAGATCATCTTCACCATCCAGAAAATAATATTTACGTCCCTAGCAGCCAAGCTTCACCAGCACCATTGGGATCAGCGGATCTTTCTTTCCATTCACTTTCCTTATCCGACATTACCTACACTAAATGCCTTAAAGGAGTTTCTACAGATTCTTGCCTAAGATCAACGGTCATATTCCGTTCTATTAAGACAAAAGAGTAATTCAGGAAGGCTTGAAGATCATGGTCACGTCCAGAAAATACAAGTCTCCACAAGTTTCTCTTTTAGAACAAAGCATAAATCAAGCTAACGACTATATTCTTTTGAGCCATCAAAGCTTTGCTTCTAAAACTTTAAGTTCGAGTTATTTTGTTTCCTTTTATCATTTTTAGGCTGTTAGAGTTTGTCTTAGTCAAGCCTATATAAGCTCAGTATTTCATATTTGTAAATCATCCTTGAACTTTTATGAATGAAAATACAGCTTTTTTTACTAGTTTTATCTCCTTTTTTGTAACATTTGTAGTTTTATGAAAACTATTAACTAAGTCTTTAAAGTGTTGTCAAAAGCAGCTCCAGAGCATCCTGACTCATCAAAGCATCCTTCCACAGAGCTTTGTGGCGTCCTCAATCCATTCATCAGTCCATCCCATCCGTTCAACAAGCTTGAGAGTGTCACACCAGCAAGCTAGCTCCGTATCGATCCCATCTCGATCACTTCAATCATTCACTGATCAGGCTGAGAGTGTCACATGACCAGCAGCCTGATTCCATGATATCCTTTCTGTTTACTGTCTTATATTTTTCATTATTATCAGCATCTCATTCGTTTTGCATTTGTTTCAGGTTATCAAGTCAGTTCCTGGAAATATCTATCAATAGACCACCTTTATGGTCGATTTGATTCAAGCTGCCATCAATCATCTGGTTGACCGAGATTTTGGGCCGTCTCAATTTCATTCTTATTCATATGATGGTTTTCTGTTATTACCTTACCCATCATTGATCAGCATGCACTTTACCAGATTGAGAATGATAGTAATGTTACAGCAATCCCACATGTATCTGCCTCTATAAGTAGTATCTTGAAGGTCATATTTCAGCTACCAAAACTCATCCTACCTTACTTGGTCTCCGTTCTTTCCCACCTCTCTTGTCCACAAGTACTTAAATTTCTGTACAGGTGTGGTACAGGTTTGCAAGATTGTTACGCCATATTTTTTAAGTGACTTGCAAAACTTCTATGTCCTGCATGTTCTTGAAAATGTACCATTTGTTGTTGTCTCAGGTGATTGTTTCATCTTACAATGAAACTTACTGCTTTGATCCAAAAACTGCCCATGTTGCCTTGATCACGTTAAACATGTTCTATTACTGAATTGTATTTATGCTTAGTCGTGATCTTTGAATCCAGGTCTAACCTTGCATCTCTTTTCTATTACCAGATTTGTACAAACGCAAGTGATGAAGAACTTCCATCTTCGTATATTGAGGAATTCATGTATGATTTTACACATATATAGCTGGAGACTTTAGTTATTATCACTTCTGAATGTTCTTATGGCTGCAGATGAGAAGCACTTTGTAAGATGTTATAGCTGATTCCTGAGATAGACAAATTTGTTTGTTTCATATATTTCAGTAGCAGATGGAAATATTATAAGCACTTTGAAACGTCTCTTGGGACCTCCGCTAAATATAATAATATAGTGATAAGTTTGTTTTGCCCATTACAGAGAGATACGTTGGTGAATCTTACCCGAAAGGTGTGTCTGTCTGTTAAACCGTGTGAAAGGCATAGATGCCGATGCTCCAGGGTCGACCTTTGATTCAGTTTATAATTTACTGCCAGGAATCTCAGTCCCCAGAACCTCTGGTGCGTACATAATGATATTATATTCTCTTAGTAAGCTTTTACTAAGTGTATATCATATCTTTCATATATTTTTAATCTAATTCAGCAAACAAACTTCCCTGTATCTAAGATCTTCACATACATTAAATCTAAAGATCTTCACATACAATAGAAATTTGTAATTAATTACAGTTGTTTAAAAACTGCTAGATTTGTTGGCAATTTTTAATTGCAGATTTTCACCACGGAGACTAAACAAAATTTGATTAGCTGTCATGATTCATCATCATCAACAGGTTATGAAAAGCAAAACTTTAAATTTAATAAAAAAATAATACCTACTTTATTTAAAATAATAATATAAATAAATAATCATAAATTTATGTCCATATGCACAATCATTCACACCCATATTAACTTCCATTTTTTATAAACTAGTATATTATATTTTAAAACTAAAACAGCTAAGACAGAACCAAATTCAAAGCCAAAAAGATTTGATACTAAAAATATATGTTTCTCTTCTTCAAGAAGTAAAGGTCATAAAAACGGAGTTTGAGTACCAAAGGAGTTTCCTTTGCTTTACTGTTACATTCTCCACGGAATAAAGGCGTTACCTTTGCTTCTCTGCGTCAACGAGGAAGAGTCTACCCACCAAAGAAGATAGTTTTAGTTTGTGGGTTTGTTCAAAGATGCGATTTTTCAGTTGTTTATGTTGTGGAAAAAGATCTGATGGGTAAGTATTGGGTTTATCTTTGATGGGTTCTTCCAAAAGTTTCTTCCTTTTTGAGTTTTATATCAAGTCTTTAAGGTTCAGAAGCCTATTCATGTTCAAAAATCTCTTCTTTAGTGTTCTACTGTTGGATTAGCTTCAGTTTCAGAAGGGAACATTCAGAGAAACTAATGTTTTGTTTGACTTTGATGTCATAAACTCACACAGGAAAAAGAAGGTGAAGAAGACTGAGCCATCATGGAGGGAGTTCACACCAAAGGAACTTCAAGCAGCCACAAACAGTTTTAATTATGACAACAAACTCGGTGAAGGTCGTTTTGGTAGTGTCTATTGGGGTCAGCTACCTGATGGATCTCAAGTAATGACCTTATCTTGAACTTGCTTGATCTGTAGAAGCCTGTTCTTGCCGTGGTATCATTGTTCTTATTGTTGTTGTTGTTGTTGTTGTTCTGTAGATTGCAGTCAAGAGATTAAAGGCACAGAGTAGCTGCAGAGAAGAGATAAATTTTGCTGTAGAAGTCAACCTTCTAGGTGGTATTCGCCACAAGAATCTGTTGAGTGCACGAGGCTACTGTGCAGAAGGACAAGAACGGCTCATTGTATATGAGTACATGCCAAATTTGAGCTTGGTCTCTCATCTTCATTCATCTGAGTCGCTTCTTGATTGGACCAGGAGGATGAATATCGCAGTAACCTCTGCTCAGGCTATAGCCTACTTACATCATCATGCAACACCTAGAGTAGTCCATGGAGATGTGAGAGCAAGCAATGTGCTGCTAGACTCTGAGTTTGAAGCTCGTATTACTGATTTTGGATATGGTAAGCTGATGCCAGAGGAAGATGGAGCTACTAAAACTAAAAACATTGGCTATCTCTCACCAGAGTGTGTTGAATCAGGTAGAGAATCATCTTCAGGAGATGTTTATAGTTTTGGTGTTCTTTTGCTGGAACTGGTTACTGGTAAGAGACCTGTAGAGAGGCTAAACCAAACAATGAAACGGGGTATTACGGAATGGGTTTTACCTCTGGTTTACGAGAAGAAGTATGGTGAAATTGTGGATCAGAGGCTGAATGGGAAGTATGTGGACAAGGAGCTGAAAAGGGTGGTTTTGATAGGGCTTATGTGTGCTCAGAGTGAGCCAGAGAAGAGACCAACAATGTCTGAGGTTGTGGAGATGCTGATGAATGAATCTAAGGAGAAAATGGCTTATCTTGAAGGTATTCCACTCTTCAACAAAAAAAACGGCTCAGAGATTCTTTCATAAGAGAAAGATCTTCAGAAACAAGAATAGATAAATTATGTTATTTGATTCACACAATTCTTTTTTTCTTTTGTAAGAATCTGGTTTTGGTTTTGGTGTTCTTCAATTTCAACATGATTTTATTCACTGATGATTGATAGTTGAGAGTTTGTAAGTGTAATAGTACATAGTTGATATTTATGATAAAAGCAAACTACAACATTTATGAATTATTGGAAGCTTATTTTATTAGAAATCAGAAATGAAACATTATTTGTTTTCCCCTCTCTACCTCCCAATCTCTCTCACCTGATATAACCAACACACAAAGTCTGAAACAGAACATAAACAGAAAATACAGAACAATAACCAACAAGAGCTCAAGACTTGCTTTAAAGACAACCAAGAATCTCAACTGTTCTCTAAAGAGAACTAAGAAACTTAACCCATATGATCTGTGCACTCTCCGTTGCCTCTCTAGCAAACTCCTCAGCAGCTTGCTCGTCTTTAGCCTTCCTTACAGCTCCATGATACTCCTCATAGGCCTCAGAAGAATCAACAAGAAGATGAGAAAGACCTTTCACAATCTCCTTAAACTTTCCATCAACAGATTCTCTCTCAGTTTCAAGCTTCTTCAACAGTTTCTTGATCGCAAAGATTTTAACGTACAATGCGTCTCCTCTTTGAGCAAGCTTTTTAGCTTCCTTGAAGTTAGCGTCCACGAAGATCTGCTTCTCCTTAGCAGTCTCTTTGAGCATTGTGGCTCTTGCCTTTGCCATGTGGACTCTCTCAGAAGCTTCAAGCCCTTCTTTTATGACGTTTCTGTATTTAGCTAACCTGGAAATGTAACTGATGGGAGCTGAGCTTAGCTCTTCGAAAGTTGCAGCCATAACGAGAATGCTATCAAAGTCTTGACGTGCCACGAGCTGACTAGCGGTTAAGACACTAAGCTCTTTCAGTTTTGCTCTAAGGCTCTCTACAGTCTCTGATGTGGATGCTGATTCACTTGTGGATGAGGTGAGAACTCTGTGTGCACTGTGAGATTCCTTTTCTTTCCTGTGATTCTCAACTAGTTGAGTCAAAGACTTAGTGAGACTAGAAGAAGTCTCTGTCCCCTGCAAAAATCATTTAAAAAAACAGGAGTCAGAGACTTTTTAGATTAATTGTTACTGTTATTCTTTTCTTGCAGCTCAAGAAGAGGTCAGAAAACAAAACCTGGAGTGAAGATTCTTCAGAGAGGATCTCTTCTATGCTATATTTTGTTGATATAGCGATTGAAGCTTCTTCATCTGGCTTTAAACCAGCTTTGTCTTGATTAAAACAGCCACATACACCTGACTGTGCTACTCCAAGAGACTCTAATGTAATTGAACCACTCTGTTTCTTTGCAGCTGTGAGGACATGAACTGTCTTAGAAAACTGGCTAAGACAATCAGGGAAACAGAAGAGTTAAAAGAGTTTTTTTTGGTTGTGTCTTACATCCTTCTTTATTAGCATTTGAGGTAAAGCCACTTCGAGCTTCTGCATAACAAGAAAGTGGAAATCAAACACTGTCTTTGCTTAGCAGAGAGTACTAATATAATCTTGAAGTACCTTCGAATTCGCGTTCGATCTCTTCCAACACTATATTTCTCTTAGCTGCTGATACAGAGTTTCAAAATTTTCATGAGTAAGATGCAAAGAGAAGGAAAAGGGATAAGAGAGTTTACATTGTTCTTCAGTGTTCTTGGAATCACCATCTTTGATCTGTTTAAGACCTCCAACAGCAGCTGCAAGAAGAACATTGAACAGGTTGAAGATTGAGCCTATTTAGAAAGATAATGATATGTTTGAGATACCTTCAAATTCACGTTCGATCTCTTCAAGCATACTCTTTCTCTTTGCAGCTGTAACAAGAGATAAGTTACTCTTTTTCTTAGGATACAAGAAAAGGAATCAGTAAACTAAAATAGAGAAGAAGAGTTTGGTTATTTTGTCCTTACATTCTTTTTCATTGTCATTGCCTTGAGTGAAACCATTGAGTCTTAGTTTTTTTGTAGCAGCTACAAAAGTACAAGAGAGAAGTTGATTCTTAGGATGAAACACAGAGACTTAGAAGATGAATGTAAATGTTACCTTCGAATTCACGTTCCATTTCTTCCAACACACTGTCTCTCTTTGCAGCTGTGACAAAGGAAACATAAAGGAAACATAAGTCTTAGAATATCTTATGAGAGAAAGCAAAGATACTTACATAGTTCATCATCAGCATCTCCTTCAGTGAAATCATTTAGTTGTTTAAGATCACGTGTAGCAGCTGCAAGTAAACACATTCTTAGACTAACATTCTTCATGTTTGGGTCTAACATACTTTTATTACAATTGATATGAAAGATAACCTTCAAATTCACGTTCAATCTCATCCAACATACTTTGCCTCTTTGCAGCTGGTAACAATACATCAAAACTCTTCTCAGATTACACTTGGAGGGAAGTTCAAACAGAACTTAAAGAGAAGAGAAGAATGCTTTACTTTGTTCTGTGTCTTCACTGGAACCATCAACTTGAAGTTGCTTAAGGCTCTCTGTAGCAGCTGTAAGTATAAAATGAAGAGACAAGACTGTCAGATAACACTAGAGGCTGTGATATGAACTAGCTAACACCCAATAGATGTTGTGTGGAAGGTACCTTGGAAATCGCGTTCGATCTCTTCTAACATACTTTGTCTCTTTACAGCTGTTTTCACAGGAAGATCAATATGATTAAGAAGACCACATGCAGTAAAAGGAAACTATTGAATAAGAGAGGACAAAGGTAGTTAAACCTTGTTCTTCTTCAACTTTGTTCCCGGTTGAATCATTAACCTTGAGTTGTTCAAGACTTTTTGTAGCAGCTATGGGACAAAAACACACATAAACATATTCTCAAGTAAACACAAAACTTTCTGGTGAAACATAAAAACCTTTTTAAGACATTTAATGAGTAATGTATACCTTCGAATTCACGTTCAATCTCTTCCAACATACCCAGTCTCTTTGCAGCTGAAACAAGACATAGAAGGAGCTTTAGACAACGGATTAGAGAAAAATAAAAGGGATGATGAGGCTTTACATTCTTCTTCTCCAGTAGTATCAGAAACCTTTAGCTCTTCAAGACCTTCAACAGCAGCTGCAAGTAGGAAGCACACATAACAACTCTTAGATGACATTCTTAGATGACACAAAAGTAATGGTGTCTCAAGAAAACCTTCAAACTCGCGTTCAATAGCTTCAAGCATGCTTTTTCTCTTTGCAGCTGTAACAACACACCCAAAACCATTTACAAAATGCTCAAGCAGACACAAAGAGTCAGAGCAATCAGAGAGTGAACAGGTTTATTACATTGTTCTTCATCATATTTGTCCTCAGTGAAGTCATTAACCTTTAGTTGTTCAAGATCTTTTGTTGCGGCTACAAGTTAGGAAATGAAACAGAACACAAAAACAGACTCTTTTAGATTTCAAGACTCAACGCACCAAAAAAAAGAAGAGTTATCTGAAGACAGGTCTCAAAGAGAATATACTTTCGAATTCGCGTTCAATCTCTTCCAGCAAACTTTGTCTCTTTGCCGCTGTAACAAAGACAAGAATGCTTCCTTAGAGAAGAATACAATTGAGTCACACAAAAAAGGGTAAGAGAGGAAGAGTTTGGTACATTGTTCCTCATCATTTCCTTCACTTAGTTCATCACTCTTTATTTGTTTCAGACTTGCTGAAGCAGCTGCACGTAAGAGAAGCAATAGAAGACAAAGTTATAAGTGAGGCTTATAGGAACTAACTACAAGTTAATAGATAGCATCTCTGAGATACCTTCAAAATCGCGTTCGATGTCTTCCAACATCTTTTGTCTCTGAGCAGCTGAAACAAGACACACACAACAACTATCTCAGCAAAAGAAAAAAAAAACTCTTGAAGAGAATTCATAAAACTAGTTTAGAAGAGGGAGTTTTTCATACACAATTCTTCATCATCTTTGGATTCAGCCTTAACATCACCTGCTACATCTTGGTTAAGACCATTGAGATGAGCTGCAGTTTATCAAGATAGATGATAAAATTAATCACTTTCTAAGTAAGCATAGATTTGACTTTAAGTGGTCTTTCTTGATTCAACCTTTAACCATAAACACAGTCACTATGAGAGAGCAAGATCTTAAATACCTTCAAATTCAAGTTCTATTTCATCCAACAGACTCGAACGTTTAACACTTTCATCACTCACAACTCCAACCTAAGGACAAGAGCAGACAAAAACGTACCTTAAGTCTACAATAAACTAACTTTGCAAAAATCTCTTAGGCAGATTCATCATCTAAATCATAATCCAAACCTGGGTTGAGTTATCAACTGAATCACTGAAAGTAGCACCCTCAGATTCTTCTGACAGAGACAGAGAAATAGTGTTCTTATCAGTCACTGTAGTGTTCTTCTGGTTCTCACTCTGAACACTTGCAGCTGAAAACACACCCACAGAAACACAAACACAAAAGCAGAAGCTGTCACAAAGAACAAAACAGATTCAAGAAAAAAAAAGACAAGGAAGAGACACAGAGAGAGTTCTTACACTGATCTTCCTTGCCTTGAAGAGTTTTGACACTATCTGCAAATCAAGAAAACAGGTAATTCAAGAAACCAGAAAAGAAGCACACTTTTGATGATTTCTGAGTTTACCCTTACCTTGGTATTCACGTTCGATTAGATCCAGATGACTCAACCTACTAGCAGCAACATCATCCTAAGAATATTACCAAATGTTTAAGTTAGTTCTGCCACTTTTCTTAAGGTTGAAAGAAAAAGAAAAAACACTTTTCTTTTGGTGCTTACCTGACAAGAAACGCCATGGAAACTCGAAAGAACAAGACACAGAGACAAACACAGAGCAAGAAAAGGCATCCTCATAGCGGAGATTTTCATTACAACAACGAAATAAACAGTGCACTAAAGCTTGAAGAAACATAAGGCTGTGGAAACGTTTTTTAAAAGAAAGCAGTTGTAACTAACTTAAACGTGGCTTTCATATTTTTCTCATGGCTCTTCTAGAGAACTCATATGGTGTGTACGAAAATTTAAACTGATGTAAAATTAGTTTTTTTTTTCTTCCTGACAACAACATATGTATGTGAAATCTTATTAATATATATATATATCCCCTATACATTATTTGTAAAGTGATTTTGCCACATGTCCTCTCAAGAATCAGTTTCACAAAAAAATGATGACATGTCTACTAGAATTGATGACATGGCATATGATTAAATATGACATAGACAATTACATTTAATGTTAATATATATTTTTAGAAAACTTTATAAAATATGGTAACAACTCATATATTACATTTAATGTCGATTTATTTTTTTGGAAATATTTTTAAAATATGGTAATAACTAATAAATCATCATTAAAATAAATATATATACCAATATGGCATCAAAAATTTCGAAAATATCATTTAATTATATATTTTAAAACTATACAATTTTATTACAAAAATTGCAAAAATGTATAAATTTTTTGAATATTATTAAAATTTGATCGTAAAATTATTTAATTATTATATGTTTTAAAATTTAATGAATATTGTCTAATTTTAATTTTTGATAAATAGAAAATTTTCTACAAATTTATTTAATTAAAATAAATAGATAAAAAATTATCTAAGATTATAATTTAAAATATATACATGCATATTCTTAAATATAATTTAAAATAAACAAAAATATTTTTATATTACTTTTTATGTTTGATTAAACAAAAATTTGTATTAAAATAGTGATAAGAAAAAGAACTCATAAATTATCATTAAGATAATAAATAATATAATAGTAGAAATATAAATATAATAATATTACAAATATTGAAATATTTTTAAGTGTATTTTTATAATTATATATTTTTATTAATATTTTTTTCAAAATTTTATGAAGTTTTTTTAAAAAATAAAATTTTCTAATCTCAATACCATTAGCTTTATTTATAACATCTATAAATTTTAGAAATATTATTTAGTTTTATATTTTGATAATTATATATCTAACCAAATTTTCTCTTAATAGTATAGAATCTGATTTAATATAATTTAACCAAAAGATAAAAGATACATATATATTATTAAATATAAATTTAAGAAATTTTTTTAAGATAGACCTAAAAAAAATTTTTAATCGCAAATATATTCCTTAAAATAAAAATGACCAAGATAGATTTAAATGTTTTATCAAAAATAAGTAAATATACACTTATATCCTTTGGGTTAACTAATCGTAAACATTTTTATTTAAAGTTGAGGAGTGGAGTTTTGGGATAGGATTACAATTTTTTTCTAAAAAAAAATTGAAATTTTCAAAATAAAAAATGTTGTTTTGGTCATTTAGTTTTAAGATCAATTTTTGTGAAAAAATTAAAAAAGTTCTATTTGAGAGAACTGTCATATATTTAAATAACTGTTTATTTTCTCTTAATTTTTACATACAATTAATGTAAAATTAATAATGTAATAAAATAATAAATTTAAAAATTAATTAAATTTTATTTTTAAAACTTTTATTTCTGCACATGGTGCAGGAAACCACCTAGTATATATATATAAATATATCAAAGAAATATTATCACTTAGTTTTGTACACGAAAAAGAATGAGATGTGATAATCAATGTTATATATGTGAAGAGGCTAGTGAATTTATAGACGTACATTTTCAAATGCCCTTCAGCTTTCCAAACTTGGGCCATATAAGAGATTTACGTGGTTATGTGTAGGGGTGGGCACGGATCGGATATCCGGGTTTTTTAAGGTATTTGTGATTTGCTTCGAATGTTACGGATATCTAATTTTGGTATTTGCTTTGCTTCGAAAAAATACGGATATCCGGAAAAACGGATATCCGGAAAATAAATAGATATTTGCGGATATTTACGAATATTTACGGATATCTCATCCATTTTAATTAGTA